AAATAGTTCATCAAGTATATCGATAGAAAAAGCGATATCATCATTTGCTCTTGAATGTTGAATTGCCCGATTAACCCCAACAGTGACCGCTTCTTCTCCTACCCGGAGAGTGAGTTTGGACTCTCGAATATCAACTAAGGCTCGGGCGGTGCTCAAGAAGGGTCTTCCAAGGATGATTGGGACCTTTTCGTCTTCCTCTATATCTAATACAATGAAATCCGCGGGAAAAACAAACTTGTCCACTTTTACGAGCAAGTATTCATATATACCCCATGGGAAGGTCATGGTCTTGTTAGCTAAATGTATGACCATGCAGACCGGTATTGGTTCAGGGAGATCAAGCTTCTTGAAAAATGAATAGGGCATCAAATTAACACTAGCTCCCGAATCGGCTAGAGCATGACTAGTTGCTAGATTCCCGAATTGGCATGGTAAGGTTATGCTTCCCGGATCACCCATCTTTTTCGGTAACATGTTTAGCATTGCAGCGGAACAAATTTCATTTAACACCACCTTCGATAGCCCCTCCCTTTTCTTTTGGTTTGTTAAAAGTTCATAGAGGAACTTGGCATATTTTGACATTTCTACTAAGGCCTCAAGGAATGGAATATGTATTTCAAGAGAATTTATGTGGTCTTAGAACCTCCGATAATCTTCATCATGCTTCTCTTGAATTGCTCTACTTGGTAATGGCAATGGTGGGTGGTAAGACTTTATGGGTTCATTAATTTTCTTTTCATCTTCTTGCCACGCCATGGCATTTGTACCACGTCGTGGTGATTGTTCAGATCCTTGTCCTTGACTTTCTTCTTGAACTTCCTTCTCCCCGTCCGAGTTGTTTCTATCTATGGGCGTTAAATGAGTGATAATTTTCACAATTCTAGTGGTAATGGATTAGACGTGAGCTCCTCTTAGTTTTGTTCAGTCTTCCCTGGAAGTCCTCCCGTAGGTCTTTCATTGAATTTCTTAGCTAATTTGTTGTTCTATGTTGAGGATTGAAGCTTATTGATTTCTAAATAGTTCTTGCTGGTTTTTCATCATCTCTTGTTGTTCCTTCATCATTACTTGTTTCTCTTTCAACATTATTTGTTGTTCTTTAATTGCTGCTTTAGTTCCCTCATGCCTTTTTTTAGATGCGGCTGCAAATTGGATGAACATTGTCTCAAAATCAGATTTCTTTTCAACCAGTCATTCCTCTCTTTGGTAAAAGTCTCTCCCTTTTTTTCATACTTTTCATCCTTGCTTTTTTATATTCATCGTAGGGTAACCACTTTTTCTTGGACTTTCTCCAGTCTTCATCAAAACGATCGCCATTCGATTAGCAAGCTTGAACCTTTCGATTTCCATTCTCATCAAGGTCACAATCACTAGTCAAATACGACCCATTGCAGTTTTCACACCCAACCCGAATAGCATGGATTGTTTGATCCATATTAGTCATTCTCCTATCCATGTTTTGCAATATTGCCAACACTGCCGACATGTCATCTGAAGCAGCATTGACATATCCCCTTGTTACGTCATTCCTCGGATTATGGTATTCTCTAGAGTGGTTAGAGAATTCTTCAACGGGCTCCTTAATTTCTGTCATATTTTTTTCTTAGTTAAAGGGCCTTAAGAGTCAAGGAGTTGTCGAGTGGTGACATTTACCCCGTCATAAAAGATCAACACTTCTTGTTTCACATTGAGGTCGTTTTAGGGGCAAATCATAAGTAGACCCTTATAATGTTCCCATGCTTCATACAACGACTCCCCCATTTGTTGTTCAAAATTGGCAATGGCCTTTTTTAGCTTAGCCAGCTTGGATGGGGGGCAAAATTGTTCCAAAAACAATTCACGCATCCTTTCCCACATCGTTATCGCACTCGGTGGAAGTGCCTTTAGCCAATCCTTCGCGGCTCCCTTGAAAGTGACAGGGAGCATCCTTAACATCACCGTTTCTCTTGGAACATTCGAAATGTTAAAGTAGTCGGCGATGTTGTTGACTTCATCTAGATGCTTGTAAGCATCTTCGTGATCCTTTCATGTGTAAGGAATCTATTTTAGTGTAGTAAGGATGTGCCCTTTAAGTTTAAATGTGGCAGTGGCGAGTATGGTGGGTTGCACGAGGCCCGGTTTGGTGTCATCTCGAACTCTTTTTTTGTACGCCTCCATCAAGAGGTCAGCAATGTTCGCCAAGATGTGGTCGGGTTCTATGTATAGCTCACTTTGTGTTTCAGATTCGGTTTCGCTTTCTTCCTTTTCGGTTTCGTACTCTATGTCTTCCTTTGTTGGATTGCTCTTTGTGTCTTTGTCCTTCAGTGTTTTGTTGGATTCTCCTACCTTTCCCTACTTCTTGCCAAAATCCGATTTTAGATTCTTAAAACGTGACTTCTTTGGCGTAGCAGGTTCTCCTACGGTTTTGTCTTTGTTTTTGCGAAAAGCAGATTCCAGATCTTCAAGCGGTAAGATTAAAGATGAATTTGATCCACGGGTCGAATTTGATCCACGGGTCATAAACGAACTGCAAACAAACAAAGGAAACGCGTAAAAAGAACAAAAAACAAATAATTAAATTCTATTGTTTCGATGCCACGGCGTGGTGAAAGTAACCACGACATGGTGAGTCAAATAAGAATAAAAACCTAAATAAAAGTAAAAATAACTTAACAATAAATAATCCTAAAAAGATAGAAGATTTGAAGTAACTAAAATTGAACTGTTCCCCGACAATGGCGCCAAAAACTTGATGTGTATTTAATACTATAACTATGGTAAGAACTAGTGTCGAACACAAGGAATGATGTTTTAGCTAATTTTTATCTACTTCTAACTAATTACTAATAAAGTAAAAAAAAATGGTTTTCTCTAGTTTTGCAAGACTAGAAACTTAATTACTAAACTAACGTCTTTCAACTAATTAAACTAGTACTTTAACTAAAGCAAATAAGCTAGTAGGATTTAATCAAGGTGAATAAGGGACTTTTTTTAGCTTCGGATTTAATTATTATTATGGTGAATTTGTGGTAGTGCAGTGGATTTTAGTTTCTTTGGTTGTGGATTCCTAAAATGTCCAAGTTAGTGCTCACTAATTTAATCATTTAGCAAAAGTAGCTCATTTATTCGGTGATCAGGCGGACAAACTAACAAGTTTACTAGTGTTTAGTTCGATTTAATTAGACTTATAATAGATTGATCAATTTAGTTCATTGATTCAATTCAATATATAATTTTTCATCATATATTAGCTCCTACACTCTTTTACCCACTTTTCTACATAACCCTAGGTTTTGCTCAAAACTCTAGTCCTACAATTTTGCAATTCACAAGATCATAAGATTCAAATTGAACTAAGGAATATAGTCATATTAACTTAATCAAATGCAGCAATAAGTAGAGAAAATAATTATAAAAAGTATGTGAGGTTCTTTAATAACCTAAATCAACAAATAACCAAATAAATAAATCCAATCCATAAATTCAACCATAATTAAACAATCAATCCTAGGCTAAACGAAAGTCATGAGTATTTAGCTCATGATTTAAGCAAACAAAAACACAAAATCGAAATTCAAAGAGTTTTACATGGTAGAAACTAATGAAAAATCAAAGTGTAGAGATTGGTTGCCTTAATTATCCTACTCCCGAGGCTTTGATCGAATTCCTTGCTTCCCAAACCTTTGAACATGCGTTTTGACTTCAAAAGTGTTGATTCCTTCCAGAGCAAAAGTCCCAATTCGGAGGAGAATGAGATCTATTTATAGTTTTCCCAAATTCAAATCACCGCGACATGATAAGGCCACCACATTGTGCTCTTCGTGTTTATCTCGTGTTCTATAAGTCTTCGAAGCAAATCAGGATTCTTCAAGTCACCACGCCGTGGGAAATCCACCACGATGTGTTGTGTATATTTTTCATCATTTTAAAGCTTTAATTCATACTTACTACTTTCAGCATCTAGCTTCCTAGTTCCTTTTTGCTCCTAGCATGTCTTTTATCCCTACAACACAATTCATAACAAACTAAGTACCTTTTGTTTTATAAAGGGCATAAAAGTATCTAAAAATAATAATAAGATATGATATAATTATGTGTGTGTGTGTATATATATATATATATATATATATATATATATATATATATATATATATATATATGAGCATATCAGCATAATTGCAAATCTTATGTGTTCATGCAATCCTATTGTTTTGGATCTAGGTTGTTCACTAATTGAACATGCATAGCTGAATACCAAAGCAAAACCCTAGAAACTAGTATATAATTCAAAAATTACACAAAATTAGGGTTTAGATGTTTACCTTACTTATTATGTAGCAATAACAAGAACACCTTGAAGATCTTTGACTCTTGAAAGCAAGTGCCTCAAGTGTGACACCTCTAATAGCTTACAAACACTCTATGCATGAGGATGAGATGGAGAGAGGTGGGAATGCACTATAATTTTTGGCTCTTCTAGGTTTAGAAGGTAGTGGCCGAAAATCACAAGTATAACCCTCCTTATATACTTGTGGTTGCTTAGTCCCAAAGCTAGGGTTGCAGGTGGAAACCCTAATTCCCTTAAGGCCAAAGCAACCCATGGACCCTCATTAATGAGCCTATGGCGAAAACTTATAGGGCCACCTTATAATTTCCATCCACTCCTTTCCACGAAGTACTGGAGCCCAGTTTCACAACTATCAATGATTTGCAAAATAGCCCATGCATTATTAATCAATTCCATTAATCCCAAAATTAATTCCAAATTAATTTATGATTAAATACCAATTAATAATATGATTTCTAATTAACATATTGTTCTCATAATATATTAATAAATTATTTATACCGATTTATTATTCCAAATAATAATTTCAACTCTCTCTCCAATAGTCATCATGTCAAGTTGCATGAGTGAAGGCAACCCAAAAGGACTTGTGCTACGATCAATTCAAATATATACAAATTATAGTTATGGGCTTAGACACATAATCCAACATTCAGTTTATATGTAATCCATGAACTTAGTCGCACTTCCGGCATGTTCTGCCTCGGCTGGGGGTGTGACACATATACATAGGCAGTTGTACTCCACACCTATGCGTAACGTCTATACACTCTTGATATTCATAATCACTAGAAATCATTGTTAAACCTTCTGGGATTTCTAAATCCAACTGATAACAGTAAACTTTTTCACACTTCTCTTGTGTGAATCGTTCAAGAAAACCAACAAACTCCTTGTAAGTCATACCAGCAAAATCGATATTCTCAAACACATGATGAATACCATCTGAGTAGCAAAAAGGTTTGTTGATGAACACATATTGGAAATGGACTTTGATTGAGACGAATACAACCATTGACCGGAACTTTGGTGGAAACAAGGGTTTTTCTTGAAAGAGTTCAACAGAAATGGAGAAGGAAATCCCGAAAACCATTGTATTTAAAAGATTTCAAATTAAAGATAATACACATGGTTATTTCATTTAATGACATGACATCGTTATTTTTTGTCGTGACACCCATTATACCTGTTATGCCAGTAACAAGTAATATAAGGATATTTTAAAACGGTCATACGTGACTTTATTACCATTTTGTAACAAAAAAACAATTAAGTAGCGTATTAAATCAAAAATGATAAATTTAATGGGTTAATATTTTGTCCATTTAATTTTAACCAAATATTAGTACATCAGAATTTAAATTGGCACAATAAGGCCCATGATTTGTTGCAAAGACCACTTTTGTCAATGGGCTTTTATTAATTATGACCTACCATCTTGGCCTCTTGGGCAGCTCCCTGTGTTGCTTTAGTTACATTCTCCACTATTAGCCTTACAAAACCCGTTGAAGTAGACTTTCAAAAAAACATTTTTTTTAATGATTCTATACTAAACAAATTGACAACCGGTTTAATGTATATTTGCATTACCTTTCATCAGGTAGTCAAGCTCAGGTAAATGTTGATAACACCACTTATAATTTTCTTTTACATGAACAATGAAAATTTGCAATACATACTTTTTTACCAACGGTGTCATAACTTGTTACCATCTGACTAAAGAAACAGTCAACACTTTGATATGTAGAACTCAAACTTTATAAAAGCATCTAGAATTATGATTCACAATGCTTAAATGACGCATTAAGTTTCAAATATGCTTCTGGAATGGATTATCCATGTACCCATAACCATTAATAAAAATACATTTTGGTATGTATCTCTATCATCATAGGAAATCATGTATGGAAGCACCTCGCCTTGCTTAGTTAGTCACCTGGACGGAGCTGTGTTTGCTGCATACTACGACGCAAAATCAACAACCACAGTGTAAAGCAGAGGGTGTACCGACGGGTCTTATATCCTAACGTCTTACTGCAACTCGTTAAAGGTCTTTATTTATTTACCAGAAATCTTTTAACTTTTAATTAGCAAAAAAACTTGATAAAGAAAAAATTTTGTTTGGAATACAAACTTAAAGCTTTTAAGTTTTATGTCACTTTATATTTTTTAAAAGCTTATAACTAATTTTTACTAATACTTGGGTACAAAAATGAAAGTTACAATTTTCATATTACAACCAACAACTAATTTTGTTGAATATTCTTTGGCTTTTTGCTGATTCAATAATAATTAATGTTTTAAAAATCAGTTTTTTTAGTTGAATCGATATGGTGCAATAATAATTAATGTTTTAAAAACCAATTTTTTTAGTTGAATCGATATGTTGGCTGGTTCCTGGTTCGACAACCGGTTCGACTGTTAAGTCGATCTGATTTCTAAAATTTTCATGTTTATTTTATTTTATTATATTTTTATACACATGTATATATACACGCCAACACACACACACACACACACACATATATATATATATATATATATATATATATATGAAAAAACACCTAAAAGGTTGAGAACGCGAGAACACTTCTGGACCAATCATTTTACAAGGGTATATTAGTAATTACGTGTTTAATTTAAATTATAATAAATCTTAATCTCCTAAATTTTAGCAATATTTTACAGTTACTTAAAATAATAGATTAACCGATTTTTTTTAATATATGACAAAAATAATTTTTGTTAAAAAAGTCATTTTTTTTTATAAATTTATCATTCATCGGATATTATATGTATAAAGATTGAAAAAAAAACATTTTTTTTCTTTTGTATTCATAAATGAACGAGAAAATACATTAAATTAATTTTTTTAAAGAATTTTAATTGATTTGATTATGTTAATCATGAAGGATTATATGTAACAATAAAAGATGGAATGAGTAAAGCACCATAAAAAGAAAATAACAAAAAACTAAAAACTCAATTCAATCGTAATCATAAACGTATAAAGTACATTTACCAATTCAAAAAACAAATGCATCTCGAATCAAAAATGAATAAAGGAAAATGTAAAGATTAAAAAAATCTAGTTTAGTTGTAATCACAAATGACTGAAGAAGATAAAAAAATCCAATTTGCTGCGATTTTTCTTGTTGCTACCAGCACACACAAAAACAAAGAAGGATAATTGTTATTTTTGGGTTCACACCTGCAAAATCATGTTCAAGGATAAATAAGAAAAAATCAGATAATAACGTTATGCATCTTCACTGATTCACAAACGAATATATGTTTGTCTTTTGATGGCAGAGAAAGGAAAACACAAACCCTATATCTTTCATTTTTGGTGTAATCATATATGTAAAAGTGCAATGTTTTACTAATAAAGTTTTCAATTGACCGGTATTTCCCAAAAAAAATGACTATGAAAAAATATTTTTTAGTTTTTACCATAAATCTTATAATGAATAAAGATTTATTCACGTATGATGATACTTAAAATCATGTATGATGATAACTATAATCATGTATTAAGACTCATGAATAAATTGAATAGAGCTGAAAATCATAAATGATTAACATTGATGAAATAAAATCTATTAGTTTTTATCTCCATTTCATAATCATTAATGAATTTTAACATATTTATAATTGAATGGGATTGAAATATATATATATATATATATATATATATATATAAACTCTACCTTAATGACGGTTTTTGTTTTCTCTTTCTTTTTAAGCAGTTGCAAAGCTTCCTGCTTTAGAACCTTCAAAAGTTCGTCTTCTTCCTTCTTAGCATTTCCAACTTCATATTCTTTAATCTGCTTGTAGACGTCTATTTCTTGAGTATATTGCTTGTTCTTCTTCTTTGCCACTTGTTCATAACCTGCATTTTGCTTATCTGTCATGTTCTTCCATTCTTCTCCACAAATTTTAGCAATCTACCACCACCAAGTTTATGAATCAAACTCATTGATTAGTTCATTATAAAAGAACACACATTTTTTACTAAATAGATTTTCAAACTCAAATTACCTCCACCATACTCCTGCTTTCTGCAATAAGAGCAACTGTCTTCTCTTTCATAAACAAGAAATACGCAGACTCTGGTTGCTTTGGCTTCAATGGATCTTTCTCCTTCCTGTATGCAGAAAATAAATCCATAAACTATAGTAATCTTCAAGAACTCGATTCTTGGAAAGGGGTTACCAAAAAATTTGATTTTTGCTTTAAATCTTGAAAAGGGTATCAAAGAACTTGATTTTTTTTTTGTTCAAATATTGTAAAGGGTATCACGGGACTTGAATAAGTAGATAATTACTTGTTCTTTTTGTAATCTCCCTCTTTTTCTGCTTCTTGCTTAAACTGCATGTATTGTTCAAGCAACTCCATAGATGTCTTCTGTTTCTGTTCTTCTTCCAAAAGCTTAATAGCTTCACTTTCTCTTTTCTCATTATCCATAATTTTTGAATAAGTAGCCTTCTCAATCGGATACTTCTCTTCGTACGACTTCTTATCTTTGGGGGTGAGTGCCTTCCATTTCGTCCCCAAAATGTTTGCGACTTCACTTAACTCTGCTTTTGGATTCTCTTTCTTGACCTGTAAAAATCATAAAAACCCCATGATGCTATCAATTTATCTAAGCTTAGATGTTTTACCAACAAAATATAAGATAAAATTAAATAAAAATGATTGATGCTTGCCTCGGTCCAATTATCGTTACATAATCTTCATATTTCAAAAAAGATCCAACACTTCAATCGCAAATCTGAAAAATAAAATCGAAAAATAGTGTTGCATTTTTTTCTTTGCCTCTGTTCTTCAGATTTTTTTCTACAAAAACCCTCTGTTCTTCATTTCTTACACACACCTTTAGGATACAAAAATCATTGTTCCTCGGTCCTTTTTAGATCAAAGTTAGGAGAAAGAAACATCTTAGCCCTGTGATCGAATGAGCGTAGAAACACGCATAACCATCCCATGTTCATCATCTTTCTCCTTGACATGTATGAAGAATAGTAGATGTAACTGTGTTTCTGGGCTTGCCATTTTTAGCAATGTGATAGTTTAGGTTAACCTTTGTAACCCGTTTTGAAATAATATAAGAGTATTATTTGAGTATTATGTATTTTGTGCTTAATTGCTTAATTATGTGGTTTGATTAATTAAGAATAAAAATAAGCGTCAAAATTTAAGTGTAAAATAAACTCGATATCTTTAGATAATGTTGTAGTAGTTGAAACAAGGTTTCTGAAGATATAAAGAATGTCGAAATCTGAGTTATAACGAGGAAGTTATGATCTGTCGAAGTTTCGCGATAGAACCGGCAACGCTGATTAACGTAAAAAGTGAAATTTACGTTAGAGCGATATTTAGCCTTAGTGATCTAAATGAGAATCGAAGATCTCGTTGTTAGTATCAAAGCGATAAAAAATTAGGCGAGAACGGACGTCAAATGAAAAAGTTATGAATTTATAATGAAATTTTCTGTCCCGGCCTATTAAAAATAAATAATAAAAATAAATTCAAAATTAGCCGACGGAGTCTAAACGAAAGTTGTAGAGCGTAGTCTCACTTTCGCGTGGATATAAAGAACGTCGAAACCGGAGTTCGTATGAAGGAGATATGAATTTTTGAAGTTTATTAAATATTTTATAATTAAATTTAATTATAAAATCTGACCTTATCCGAAGACGGGTCACCGGACTCATCCGGAGTACGCCCAGCGTACTTGAGTACGCCCCGCGTACAGCCAGAGTGTCGACACTTCGGATGACGCATGCAGTGACGCATTTCGGAGCCCGTACGCCCCGCGTACTCCGAGGCATCAGCCTCCTATAAATAGGATACGAGGGGTCCGAGTATTCTTACTCATTTCTTCTCCTCTTTGTGCCGAAGCTCTGCGTTTTTACCCCCAAAGCCACCCCGAAACCCCGGTAATATTACCGAGTCCCGATATCCCGAAGATCCCGAGAAGTGCGGTTTCCGAGCTGAAGCTCTGCCCGCGAGAAGTTTGATTTTTGTAGAGATCTTCCAGATCTGCTGAGGATTTCTATTTCTACGAACCGTAGTGCTGTCCGATCATCT